CCCCTGAATAGACCTTAGCAGGGAGGCGGTAGAAGTGTGACACCGCTTTAGTCCCCCTTTTTAAAAAGGGGGACCACCACCCCGGTCTGCCAATCCAGAGGCACTCACCAGATTGACGAGCGGCCCTCCCGAGTTGCCGTACTGCCGCCCCCGGGAGAGACAAAAGCAAAAGCCTCAGTCAGAGGGGGCAAAACGTTTTAGGGTTTGTGCATTTGTGGGCGCTCGATGTTTGGCTCACGTTGATGATGGCGTCGGTCTGGATGTAGTCCATGTCGGAGTTGCGCAGGCCCAGCTCCTTGCCTTGCCGCTGCGTGGTGCTAACGATGCCGGTGGTGACGGTGTTCTGCAGCGAGAAGGGACTGCCGATGGCCACCACAAACTCGCCGGGGCGCAACTCTGCCGAGCGGCCCAGCAGCAGAACCGGCAGCTTGCTCTGCAACGCAAACCATGCCTGTCGTGCACTCGTTGACATTTGACTTCGCCTGGACTTCCTTTGGAATCAACTGTGACTTTGTCCCATTTTTGATTTCACGTTGACGTCCATCTGAGATTTACTTTCTCCAACTGAATCGCCGTTTTCATCTTTGGTGATTTTATTTCTGTTTTGAACTTTGACTCACGTGGACATTGATTTTGATGAGAGCGATGTCGGCCTTCTCGTCCACGTCCAAGATTTTGGCGTCAAACGTGGCGCCGCTCTTCAGCTCCACCTGCGTGCACGACACCAAATGTCACGTTTCCGTCGGCCGGCGCGAACCTTGACTTGATTTCGACAGGCCAACCGCCGACCTTCACTCGATGCTTATTGGCCACCACGTGGGCGTTGGTGACGATGAGTCCGTCCTCCGACACGACGAATCCCGAGCCGCTGGCCACCGCCACTTCCCGCTTGGAATAAACCATCCTGCGGGCGGAAAGGTCAATCATTGCAACGCGTTGGAAATTGATCGCGCCCGACTCCCCGACTTCATGGTCGTACTTGCGGTAAAGTTCGATGTGGACGACAGCCGGCGCGATCTTTTCCACTACGTCGGCGATGAAGTTGTACTTGAGGCGAAGACTATCGGGGTTCCTCTGACCTGCTGGGGCGGAACGAACATCAGAGACACCGTGACCATGGGGGTGGAGGCGTGGCCAACCATGCCATGTCGCTCCTGCAGCAGCAGGGCGGCGCTGTGCGAGGCTCGAGTCCATCTACGTGTGTCGGCGAGCCACGCAAATAAAACCAAAAGGCCGTGAGTCAAGTCTCGTCTTACATAAGCGCCGCGCTTGCTCACGTTCCAGATGTGCTGAAACATCAGCGCCGCTCCAAATGGGGGAAGTCATTTCAAATGTTGGACGAGACAAACGATGTGGCTCGATGGCTGAGTGAGTATCAATTGCAAAGGGAAAGAAAGTGAGGTAACTTTTGGCAACCATGTTCCCGCACTCGATGGCTGCGTGTCTTTAATGGACTTTGAAGGGTCACCACTCTAACGGGCCACCACCTACCCTCATGCTTCTTGGCAACCACTAACGTTTATTTCATTTCTGTTGCCCACCTTTTACCCATCTTTTTTTTTTACTTCATTTCGACTGGCTACTATATACTTTTACTCACTTTCAAAAAGTACCTTTGTTTTTATTGGCCAACGCGAACCACAAGGTGACTGAGTCCCGATTGGTTGTGTAGCGAAAAAGCGGGCGTGCTCAGACTCGTAAACGCGCGAGCATGCTCAAATGAGATCAACTGAGGACATGCATTGAGTGAACGGTTCACTCTTATCCGCGACTTTCTTTTCACGTCGGGAGGCCAAACCGACGGCGATGATCAACAATGTCATCCCGTTATCTGATCCCAGCTAGAGGCAAACGAGCCTCAACTGGGAAAGATTCCCGAGGCTGCTCCTGAGTCACCGCGCAAGAGTTGCCGTGTTGACGGCGTATCCCAGCTTGTCTGCACAGAGAGCCGGAAAGAAAAATATTTTGACCCGCTTAAATCTGGGTTAAATAACGTCTGACCCACATTCAAGCAGTCAACCGGTAGTCTTCCAGCGATGAGTCATAGCACCAAACGCGTTCCAGACCTTCTCTGAGGCTCCAAAGTTCTGTCCAACGTGTCCACAAAACAACTGCCGGCCCGTCACAATCCATTGCAAAGACGAAGCTTTGGAATGAGATGAAGATTTTCTCAAGCAGGGAGGTCAAATTTACTTCACAAGATTTATTTGGGGCAGCGCTTAAAGAAGAAGTCATTGCTTTAGTACTTTTGTTTTATTGGCCTGCTGTTCCCATTATGTGCCGTTGATAGAAACTGTTGAAATCACACCACGTCACGGTTTATTGCAGATGATTTTGGGATACTGCTAGTCGCCGTTTGCGGACCCTCGGTGACCTCAATTTGACAGCCGCTGGCTTGACTCACTCTTGGCTTGTGAGGTGACAACACTCTGTTGCCACGGTGACCAAGTAATGTGGAACATTCCAAGAGGAATGACAAGTTTCGTCTGAGCACACGCACGCGGACACACACTGAGGCCCACTCAGCACTTTTGTTTCTTGAATAAGCAATTTTTCAGACTCGTCTGGCTATTATCCCGCCAAAGTGCTGCCTTGTCCCTGTTTTGAAAGTGAAGAAAGGCTGCAATTTAGGTCGAGACATACCGCCAAAATGTCAACATCAAATGCAATTAATTAGCCAGAAATATGCAATAAATAACTTAGGAGGCCACAGAAGAGGAGAGGGCCCCGTTGCCTCGAGTTTGATCCCTAAATGTTTCGCAAGATGACTAATATAAAGCATTGGGCACCAACGCGCACGCACATTTACACCCCAAACTACACCCACGTCTCGCCCTCACCCACATTCATGAACGCCCCCACACCCCCACATACACCCGGTTCCAAGCACACGCTCCCAGCCGTTTCGACGCCCACTGCAACTTACCATGGCCGCACGCGCCTCTCTGGATGGGGATGACGGGCGGCCGTCCGGCCTGGACTGCGCGGACGCTTTCGCGTCGGAGCCGGCAGACGTTGGCGTAGGTGACCCCGTCGCTGCCGCAGGCGGGCTCGGAGCTGGCGCACTCGCACACGCCCGGCGTGGCCCGGCGCCGCAGGGTGCTCGTGGGTGCCACGCCGTCGCTCGTCACGCAAGTCAGACCGTCGCCGCAGCGGCGTTCGTCTCCGC